CAGTTAATAAGGTGAGCAGCATGAACTTGAGTGCTCCGCACTGCGAAACTTAACCGATGTCAGCAGCTCGATTTGGTAGTAGCTTCTTACTCGAGTTTTGATCAGAATCAATACAGCCGGCCGGTTTCTTAGCTAATGATTGTGCCGAAAGGCGGCTAAGTCGAGCGTTGCGTTACTTACACTAGTTCGAAACGGCAACTTCCGCAAAAATTGATCTCTTCCACCGAGCGAGCGGCTACCCCATCATCTGTGCAGGCCAAAGATGCCTCGGTGAGGATCGAAGTCGTCCGAGGCTGTGCTAGTAAAATCTGCAAATAGCGCAACTTAAACATCGCCAAGCATAGTTAGAAGAACCAACGTAACTACCGGACATAGGCAAAGGAGATTATTCGAATGTGGAACAGATGCATTCATGTGAAGTAAATGGCGATTAAGGAGAGAGGAAGAGAGAGAGAGAGAGAGAGAGAGAGAGAGAGAGAGCGGGGAAGAGAGGGAGAGAGAGTTAGAGATGGAAGAACACGTTAAGAGGTGGAACGGTAGCCTGTTGTGCAACCGAGGTAGGTTACTCTATGAATAGAGGTCACTTAGCATCAGAAGTTGGGAGGGCACAAAGCCCACCTGGAAGTTTGGCAAAGGGGCAAAAAGAAGAGACATCAAGTAGAAACCCGCACACGAGTTCACCACCAGGTCATGGAACGGCGAAAGTCCTTCGAATTCAAACGAAAAACCGTCTCGCGTCTCTGCCTTTCCCACCAGGCATCACACGCCTTCGTCCTCTTGCTTCCCTGGTGATTTCTCAAGCAACGAAATAGGCGGAATTAATGAAAAAAATACTTCTTCCTGTGGGTCCTTTTAACCATGCTTAGACGTTTGGTCAGGTCAGAGCGATGCACTTTAACATCCTAATACACTGTTTATACTGCAAATGGTACTGCATTTGTCATACATAAAGTTCTAGCAACGTAGGCTTAAGATGAATTAAACACGAATGTTGCCCGCCCGCGGTTGTTTAGTCCCCGATCACGATGTACTGCTCCACCGATGTTTCATATCATTCCTGGCAGAACATCTCCTCAATTCTCTGCTATGGCGTGAAATCCTGAGTCGTTGCAAAGTATGTCCGATTCGACTCAAAGTTGCTGGTGGAAACCTACACACACGGAGATGTGGCATACATTTATACCCGCCTGTAGAGACTGAGGGATTTTAGGGGCATTGTACAAAGCCAATTTCAGGTGGGTCCAATAAAGCATTGTACTGTTGGCTTAGTTTTGCTAATTGGATAGTCGTTCCTCGATGGGAGCTGCAACAGACCATACATCAGTAGTACTGTCGCAGCTTCCAGCCACAAGGAAACAAGTTTCCAATTAGCAGAACTATGAGCAAACAGCAAAATGATCAACTGGATCCAAGTGGAACTTTCGGCAACTGTGAAAACTATCAACTAGCAATCACCTAGAGAACTGAGCGCTTGGCATTCCAAAGCGGTGTTTTGCTGGCTGCAAGTGCCTGGAGAAGTTACAACTGTAAACCTATCCTTATTTGATTTTGTTGTCAGAATCACGCCGAAAATATTCCGCACTTGAGAGCTTAAGTCTAATTAAATTAGCCGAGAGTAAAAAGGATTGTAGCCAGTTCAGTGTGAAGGTCTGTGAGCGTCTGCTATGTCAGGATCAGCAAACCACGGCCCTCGCAGACTGGTATGCGCTGGGAGTTCTCCAACACCTGGTTCCCTGCCGGTGGATGCGTTTGCGCTCCCGATGGGAAGGACATCCTCGTCCTTCTGGCCCGATGTTGTCGGTTAAAATCTTGGCCAAGTGATCATTGTGGACCAAGAGTTGTGGTGGTACGCCTACGTGCAGGTCCGACCGTGCCATCCGCCTGCGCCCCCCCCCCCTCACCTCCGGTCTTCTTGACCTTACCTTGACAGCGGGCACAGGTAAGGAGGGGAGAATGCGGTAGATGCTGCGCAAGTCTACACTAACTATAAACTAAATTTTCACACAAGTTTCCATCCCTGCTCCCACCCTGCTGTGGTGCACGTGGTTGACATCGTCGGGCACGACGGTCGGAGTATCAGATGGTTTAGCAAGGATGTGGCTGGAGTTTGGTCGAGATTCTAGCTATATTCAGATCGAAACGTCCTGCCAACATCCTACGCAACGGATTTTGAACGACGGCCCTTGAGAGCCGAACTGCAAGTGACAGTACGCTAAGTAATTCCTGATATCTTTGGAGTATACAATCCCTCCTGATGTCTGAAGACCAACGCTGGAAATAAGATGGATCTTTTGTGAGAGGTGCGTCAGTTGGAAGACGGCGTTGTTGATAAAAGGAGGAGGAGGAGGAGGAGGAGGAGGAGGAGGAGGAGGAGGAGGAGGGATGGAGAGAAGACTGGACCGGACGCGCACTGGAATTCTACGCTATGGTAGCTACAGTGGTAAGTTGGGAGTTTGTACGACAGTCGCCCTGTCTGTTAGGAAACGAAAGACTTATACCGTTACATTGGCGTGTGCTTGTATGGACTACAGATAATGGCTTGTTCGGGCAAGGCGGCGTCAAGTGCATGTCTTGCATGCCCTCGGCAATCGCTTACCTCAACATCGAAGGCCGAGCGGCTCAGTACCCTTCCCCCCCCCACATCTCTCAACCTCAGTCTTCAGGAAAGACAGAGGTGGGGATTTAGAGCGGAAACGTGAGAAGCGTATTCACGGTTGAACTCCACTTCAAATCGACGTGGTGCGCGGTCAAACCACCTTAACCAAAATTTCCCGGCAGGATAGAATGTCAACTAAACACAATAAGATGGCATTCGTTGTCATTGAGGTGTAAAAGTGTCCTTACAGAGAAATGTAATAAGCTGATGATCGCTTCTGATGTTGGAAGAGGGGAGTAAACTCCTTTTTGTCTCGATTTCCCAGCTGGAGGTCAATGTGCCGATAAGTACTCACTTTGTAGCCCTTTCCCCCATTGTCATCATTACTGGCAAACGATGACTGTCCGCAGTGCTAAACTCCATTCGCCATGACTGATCACTGCATGCCCTCGACTGCTCTGGATGAATTCCGTACCACAACATCGAAGGCCAACGGGCCCAGCACTCCTCCCCCCTCTCCCACATCTCTCAACCTCAGTCTTCGGGCATGGCAGCGGTGAGAATTTGGACGAGAAACGTGAGAAGTGACATCGTGGGTGAACTCCACTTCAAATGGACGTGGTGCGCGGTCAAACCACCTCAGCAAAAATTTCCTGGCAGGATAGAAAGTTAACTAAATACAGTGAGATGGGACTTGCTGTCATTGAGGTGTAAAAGTGCCCTTACAGAGAAATGGAATAACTTGATGAGCACTTCTGATGTGGAAAGAGGGAAGTAAACTCGTATTTGTCTCGATTTCCCAGATGGAGGTCAATGTGCCGACAAGTACTCACTTTGTGGCCCTTTCCCCTATTGTCACCACTACAGGCAAGTGATGACTGTCCCCAGTGTTAAACTCCATTCGCCATGACTGATCATTGCTAATACTAAACGTAGATGGTGTCTGCAAGGCGTACTATGGTACCACAGCTGAAGTTTTTATCTATAACAACCTCACCAAGCCGTCCGATGTGGCGTTCGGAATGGTTGCATCTTGTGACGCGTTCTTTTGACCACCCTATTCGCCCGGCCCAACGCAGTGCTGAAGGTAACAACTGTTCACCCCAGCGTTGACCGACTGACCTAAACTGAGCTGCGGATACCACTCTGTTAACGTCAGGCTGATGACCTTCGCAATTATAGTAGTACCGATGAATGAGATTACAAGATCAATCAGTTTAGCCATGATACCTTAATCGTCACATTCACGCGCATAGGGTATCCACCCGCTTAGTCCTTCCTTTGCGATTGTACTTGCTAGGCTGCATGCGTGGAAGACAAGAGGGGCTTGACATTTTCGGTACGACGCAGAAAGAACCCTTCCAGTGTGGAAAATCTACTTAATCTCCAATAAGACCGTTTGCACCATCTGCGATGACATTCACGATAGGTCTGGGCGCCCATGTGGCCTGCGGAAACTTTCCATCGCCGTCCTGTGGATAAAAGGCCACTATCCTAAATCAAGCCGGCGGCGCAGGCGTCAGTTTCGAGCCTGACTCGACACAGTCCGTCATGGCACACTGAGCTGGTTATTGGGCACTCGATTTCCGGCCATCCCCACTGGACAGAGCGGATTTAGACCTACATATTCGTCGCCACTGACGGCCGCGGGTAAGGTACTATATGCGACATAACTGAAGCAGGCTGGATCAGGAATTCACGTTCTACTGAATGGGCGATGCGGGATGAATAGAGATGACCACAGTGAGTCATCTTGACGTCGATTAGTTTTAAGGAAACCGACCACCCGGAGAGACGGCGTTCACTGGAGTTTATATAGGAGATATGCACACCTGCTTCTGACGAAAAGGCAGGTGCGGACCAACACGCTGATGATTCGGGTCTGGCACAACGGTCGTCCTAGAAAATATCGCAAACCAAGAGGACGGCAGTAATATGGCGACCGTGAGCGGGTAAGAAACGGGTTCTCTTACACTGGATATCTTACGTTTAGAATCTAATGATGCGGATAGGGAATAAGACTTTAAAGAGGCCGCTGGGAGTTCCACCTATACCTAACATTTCAAAGACACCACATGAGTATTGAGAGTAGTTACAGTTGGTCTCAGCAAAGCCATACCAATTAAGTCGAGGTAATATATAACAGTCCAAAAAGTCGTCTGGAAAAGAAACACCGGCTGAGTGTCTGACTAAATAAAGAGCACTTATGGGATTTTTTGATGCCCATAGGGGAGTCGTCAATGGATTTTATGACCAGATTTTATATACCTTTTAAAGACTGTAATTAAAAACACCCAGACTGAAAACTTCAAGCATTGATTGCAAGTAGATGTACAGAGTTTGTGTTTCCTCAAAAACGAAGACTGTCAAATATATTTACATGGACAGGAAAGCCCAGATTCCTTCACATGTCCTTATGACCGCCACGATTGCCGCCGGAACCAATGCGGCCGGCGCGCGGTCCGAGTCCACCACCACGATGAGCACCTGTAAAGGAGATAGGAATATCGAACACTTGGATGGCGAAACTTAATACCTACTATTTCATAAAAAATATTTTAAGACTATATCTGATATATCAGATAGATAGATAGATAGATAGATAGATAGATAGATAGATAGATAGATAGATAGATAGATAGATAGATAGATAGATAGATATAGACAAATGCAAAATGAGAGAGAAGCCGATCAAGCCGCTTAAGCGAATGAGCGCATTTATGCGTCTCATAGGCTTCGATAGTAGTCCATTCTCTCACTTTGACCATACCCTCATCACACGTTAAGTGCCACCCAGCTGATTATGGCATCTACATTGTCTGGCGTCTAGATCAATTGCTGAATTGCTCTGACGAGGAGAGCGGATGCAAATGATTAGAATGACTATTTTGATTGTGAGAATGCAAGCATAGTGAGGGACATTTAAGAGCAGGGAATGGCGGCAATTAAAGTATGCTTGAGTTACAAGCTCTGGGGTTTAGGAAGCGGATTCCCTTCGAAGTACAAAGGCCAACTGGGACGGCAGACTATTGGAAAGATGACACGACAGTAGACACGACCGACGTACCTCTGAACTTATTTCGAGCTCCCCCGCGGCCACCACCTTCACCTCCGCCCTGGTTTCTGTTTCGCATGCGTGAGACTTGCATGTCTTCTTTAACTTTGTCTATAACGTCGTCAGGGATCCGGAGGTACTTTATTATTCCCCCACGGATATAACATTCAGGCATCTTCCAAAATCTATCACCATCCTGAGAAAACATCAGCACCAAGCGTACCCATACCTTTGACGTGCAGATAACCTCCTTTAAATGAATGTTCATCCAGTCATCGCATGCCACTAAATGTCCGTTATACGTATCGCCACTTTTGAGTTCGACTAGCTAATAGCAAAATAAAATCAGACCGGTATACTTACCATTGGCATGTTGCACGATGCCTTAAGCAGTGTTATGGGAAGCTAAATGAGTAAGGTGGCGAAAAGAAAGAAACAACTACCATCCCGAAGCAAAGGCAGCCGGGCTCTTTACAGCCAAAAACAAAATGCCCCGGCAGGCAAACCAAGAAACCGAGTATATGATTGGTGGAGCTCAACCACCAAATCACTCTACTTGACGCTTGATTAGTTACCCAGTTTGTAGCGGCTGAAGACATCAAGGATAACCCACACGGGGTAGCGAAACACTTGAAATCAATCCTGGTTAAGACCGATTTGAATAGAGTCGTTAACGTGTCGCATACCAATAGGAAGGGGTGGGAGAAGAGTTTAGTAGACAAGGGAGTATAATGAGGGCAAACAGAAATTGGAGATGCATATAATAGTGGTTAATTGTGCAAACGTGATGAGGTGCAGCAGAGAAGATTTATCGATGAATGATGAGGGGACACTGACACGCCTGCTAAATAACCAGGTATGAAGGCAGCTCCGAGGGCATCTACAGGGGAGGGCCAGGGAAGATGTCGACGTAGAGAAAGCGAAAAAAACACGAGCGTTACGGCGAGTTGCGGGAAGGGAGTAGGCGATTCAGAAAGGGAAGCACAGCAGCCATTTCCACTAACACGTAGTTACACCATCCCTACCCTAGGTCCGCGCGGGTAGGGTCTCTTCTTTTGTGGATCGGTACAAGTCTTCTGTGAGACATGAAAACATTGCCTGACGATAAACACTTAGAATAGGATAGTTACAGTTTTTCTGAGCAGTCTGAACTCCTCGCTTTGCTGTCCACAGACTGATACTACCGACCAATTTAGTTTACCCTTACCCAAATTTCCAGATGATGAGGACCTTTTTAATAGTCAGGAGGCGGAAATGTCTTGCATTTTAATAGTTTCATGAATTTTTCAGGTCAGGCTGTGTTTCGAAAAACTCTCGACAACTCAGTCAATATTTTAGTCGACATTCAACTTCTGAGAAGTGGAGCATGATTTCATCTCGCTCGTGTATTGTTGTTTTCAAATAAACTATATAAACAGACAGTGACAATTGTTTGCCATTAACAGCAAAATCAAAGAAAGCAAATTCAAAGATAATAGGTCTGCGTGCATTTCCGATCTTTTCCTTTGCATTAACTTGTAAACCCGAACTTTTCTCCGCTTGTGTTTTGGTATGTCAAAATGCACAGCAGCAGCAGAAGCGGCAGCAGCAACAACAACAACGACAACAACAACAGCTGGTTTCGGCTTATGATACCGCTTGCTTTGTGTCTTCATGCTGATTGGTGTTACTGCTTCATAGGTTACATCTATGTGCATCAATCCGTTTTTGTCAATTGTGACAGTCTGTCTTTATTTTCCGATCATATCTCGCTGGACGAGATTTTCCCCCTTCAGCAAGTTCGACTAACCGACTTCAACTCGAAACTTTCTAATACGAGAGAGTGCTTGCTGTTTGTGAGTCTATACAGCAGCTTGTCTTTACCGCTTTTCCTATACTTTTTCTCTGCCGCTTTTTATAGGAAAGTTGGAATATTCTAGCGATTATCGCATCTTTATAGTTTTGATTGTCATTTAGGATAGAAGGCTCTGATTCCAGCGTTGTTTAACCAGATTCCTCACCAGCAGGGAGGCTAAAACGTCGCCTGCTAGTTCTAGATCCGAAAAGGAGGCTCGGTTAAGGAGAACGCGATTTTTTTTATCTAAAACGACCAAGTCGGGCAGCGCTCATCGCCGTTCCCCTGGACGGATCCTATCCGGATGACCGCGCAGCTGACACTGTAGGCGGAGGTTCGGGACGAACCGAGACCACCTCAATGGTGGCCATAAATCTCAAAATTCAAATTCCTTTATTACAGCGTGAAAGGCATGTAATTGAAAGTCAGTGAGCCAATGACCCATCTCGTTGATCTGTAGTGAGCAGCCAACCTGATCAGTCTGGTGTCACTGTTCAAGACCTCACTGTCTCAAGGTCATTCACCCCTTGCAGCGAAACGTCCCAGGCGAACTGACCTGAAGCTACTCGACGGACGTAAGCTCGGACACAATTGCGTCCACACGGCGTCGCGGCTACTCATGCGTCCCTTGAACGCGCCACCCTCTGCAACCAGCAAAACAATCCATTGGGAATCCACCCCTCGGCAAATACAACCCACACTGACCGGCTACCAATTGAGCTTGGCCTACGAGCATGCAAAAGCGGCCGTCACCACTGTCTCAGGGACTCTCAGGCATGACTGGACGCAGTCAACACTAGCCCTGGCTCTGTCAGTGGCCACTTCTGCCTGAGAGGACAACTTCGGGTTCTGTGCACAATAACCCCCACATTTTGGCGTCTTCTGTTTTCTCCGCACAACATGGGATTCCACCTGATGGTTGTAGCGCTCAGAGTACCCGTTCTCATTGTCATGCCGCTACAGATCTATTCGCGGACATAATCTCACTAATAAAAACTTGGTTGAACCAGCAGGTAGGCGACCGTGAGTTAACTATACCCAGACACCAGCTGTTTTGAAGGCACAAGTCGGCACATAAGAGAGGAGGCGTACTCGCTTGTGTAAAACCTGTGCTTATAGTTTCAAACGAAACAGAAGAATTTGAGTGTACTTCTGAACAAATTTGACTTACTATTAAAGCACGGAGTTCATCATCTTCCAACGTTCAGATAGTCTACTGACCGTCGGCAAATGATGCCGCTACTGACAACCGTGGGTTTGAAAGCCTAGGGAAATTCATCATTTGGTCCGACGTCTTAATCATGGAAGATTTCAGTGTAACATTTATTGACTGGAGTTCAGTCTACGCATACGGCTCAGACAGCACCTTCGACAGAGGTCTACTGGACATGACGCTTGGGTTATTTTTCACTCAACGCGTTTTGATTCAGACGATGATTCAGCAGCGGCCAAACTGTCTGGATCTGGTACTTAAGAAGTCAGTGAATAGCACTGATAAAATACCATTTGTACCTCTCTTCGGTCAGAGCGACTACACCAATGCTGTTGTGGAACGTTCCACCTTTTCTGTGCCCGAATTAACCGCCGGAATTGAGAAGAAAACTGAAATAAGCACTATAAATTGGGAATCAGCATTTTTCGGCATCACAGTCAAGGATTGGGATTGGTTCAATGAATTATTGCGCATTCCTCTAAGGGGCAACTGTCCGATTTCATGAAAGAAACTGTACAACAAACCCGATATAAGCACCCATAAATAGAAATGAATAAAAAGCGAAGGTTTTGGAGAAAATTTCTCTCGGAGAGGAACCCCGTGTCATTAAATGCGTACAAGGGGAAGAGGAACCTAGTTAAATGACTTATTCCCAGGACACAACGAGCTTTCGAAAAAGATCTATTAAACCAGGCCGAAGATAGTCCAAAGTTATTATTTGGTTACGGACGAAGGAGCATGTGAAATAGAGACCTAAACCCTTTGTCGGAAGCTAGTAAAGGCGTAGATTTTAGCAAAGGTGGAGCGAAGACAGACCACCTTTCGCAATTTCAAGCCCATCTTTGCGAAAGAAAACGCATTTATTTCTCTCGACTGCGGCATAGTGGAAAGCTCAACGATTTATAATGTTTACCTCATCGAAGGTACTGTTCGCAAAGAACCGTTTATGCGTAATTACTCGAAATAACCTGGGTCGTATGACATACTGTTTAACTCGCTGAAGGATTTTGATGGAGACATATCCAAGCCCCTGCCTATGCTCCTTCAAAACTTCTCCAATGTGGGCTATTTACCCGCAAGTCGGATTTCTGTACGGATTAGACCACTGTATAAAGGCGGTGGAAAGGTCTCGCCAAACACCTAGAGACCCATCAGCTTCACTTCAGTCGGCTGAAAAATTATGGAATATATAATCAGGCGAGAAACAGTGAGCTTCTTAGAGTAGCAAAATCTAGTTTGCGACGAACAGCTGGGATTCCGTCGAGGCAGATCATGCATTACAAACCTGCTCTATCGTTTAGAACGCTGAACCCTGGCAGTTGGTTGAGGGAATCAGTACACGGAGTCTATGAAGACCTTAAGAAGTCATCCGATAGTGTACCACGTAAGGGCCTCCTGTTAAATAAATTTTATTTAATGCCAGTTTACAGGCATTGTCGAGGGAAGCGATTAAACACAAATCCGACCAGCAGTGAAAAAAAACTCCTGAGCTTAAGGGATAAAAATATAGTTGATGGTGGTTTTTGTGGTTTGGAGGGCTCAGGAGAAAAAACTGCCGGCGGTGGGAGAATATCGACCGTCAAGAAGGGGGGAGGTTGCACGGTATCGGAGATTATCGGACGTCAAATTCCTTTCATGAAGCTGGGAATAGCCAAAGTAGAGGCGTTGAGGAACAGCTGGTGAGACCGGCCATAGTGTTCAGAGACCACAAACGCCATCGCTACGGTACAGTCGATCAGTAGATTCAGCACCCAAAATTTGTGGGAGCTTTTCTGAATGCAAAAATCGAGTAATAGTTCTCCTAAATAAAGGATAATTTTGCAGAGTTTTCACACTCATTGGTAGTTTATTCCAAAAAGCAATTGCATTTACAGAAAAGAACCGACGATATTTAACAGTACGTGCCAGAGGCAGAAATAAGAAGACCTCACGGTGACTGTTACGTCGTGGGTGGATATGATGTCTTAAAGAGGTGCGTGGGTTAAATGTGTGATTATATAAGAGTTGAAATAGCAAAAATAGTCCCTTTTGTAATCTACGGAACCATAAGGGGTCAAGGCCCGTAAGCCGGCAACGTTCTTGGTAAGACAAATGTCGGTGTTCTGGGGTTAAAATTCTCTTGGCAAAAAAGTGTTGAACGGATTCTATTTCCTTCCGCTCAGTAGCAGGCATGAGGCTAAATGAAAACGAACAGTATTCCAGACCAGGTCTAACGTACATGTTGAAAAGGCGCATTCTAACGTCCCTAGTTTTAAAATTTCGGAGGATAAACCCGGTCGTTCTACGTGCTTTGGAGACTATCAAGGCACAGTGCTCCGAGAGATTGAGACTCTTGGAGTATGATACGCCCAAATCCTTAATAACCCCAGGCACATTTATGGCGTGACCTTCAATACTTA